TAGGTAGTGAGTTAGTAGACCGAGAGGTGAATTCTCTATTATCGTTGCTTGATGATTCCCGAATACAAGTCATAATCGTTATTCATGCATGCTTAGTAAATACCCATACACGCGAATACGATCCCGATACCCGTAGTCATCCTTGTTTGATAGGTTACTCGTTTTCATTGCTTTCTTATTTCGTTTTTCCATAGATTCTACATATTTCCACCATCACTTGCTTGCTTGCTTTGATCTCTTTTCGATTTAGATTTGGATTTAGCAACCGGTCCTTGTGTTCGACCCCGTGTTACGACGATCCGTATCCTTGCGGTGTGTTGTGAATCGGGTTATAGATTTTAGACTCGGTACACATGTATCAAGTTTTTGGCGCCGTTGCCGGGGACTGGTTAGCCTATTTCTAGGTCTTTATTGATTCTAGATCTTAGCTTGTTTTATTTTTCTTTTTCTTTTTGTTTTTCTTTCTTTGGTTTTTGCGGATTCACTTGGTTTCGAGTTCTTCTTTTTCTTTGCGATTTGCAGGGTTCTAGTGCATGACAAGGAGCTCTACTCGGAGAGAAGACCTAGTCTACGATCTAGAGATCGAGCGTACTTTAAGGGATATCCGAAATCAGCAAAGAAGAGAAGCGATGTCGAGGTCAAGCAGTTCGCACGACCATCAACAAGGGCATACCATTCAAAATGAGGAGCATCACGAGAATCAAGAGCACATGAATCCGCTCTACGATCAGCAGACTGAAGGCGAAGCTACCTACGTTGCAGAGGAGACTTTGGGTTCATATATTGCGCCGAAGCACACCCAACTCCTATCATGCATCAACCGACCGCCTATAGACAACTTCGAGCTACCACCGTAGTGCATTACGATGTTCAGTCAAGCGAGTTTCAGAGGGCGGCCCACAGAAGATCCCATTGCACACTTGACTCAATTCAAGATGTTCTGCAGATCAGTTAGGAAGGCACGAGGAATGACCATCGAGGACGTATACTTGGAGGCCTTTCCTTTTTCACTGATGGATTGGGCAAGAGATTGGCTCTACACCCTTGAGCCAAACTCGATTACGACATGGGAGGAGCTAGAGGAGCAATTCATGGCGAAATACTACTCCCCAGAGAAAACCCGAGCTGCACAAAGAGCCATACACAACTTCACTCAGGAGAGTGACGAGAGTCTATACGACGCATGGGAGAGGTTCAAAGGCTATCAACTCCTTTGTCCACACCACGGCATGGATAAGCGACTGTTGCTATCCACGTTCATCCACGGACTACGACATGATACCAGAGCTTGGATGGATGCAGCCTGTGGAGGGAGCGTTTATGAGATTCCCTTTGACACCCTAAAGATTCAGATTGCGAAGATGGCCAAGACTAGAGGGATGTCCAGAGATAGCAATACACGACCCATGGCTCGGATAGATACAGGAGAATCTGCAGTTTTGAAAGCTGTCATGTCTGAGCTAGCGGTTATCAAGCTCCATTTGGAAGGTAAGAGCAGTTCAAATCAGATACCACCAGAGATAGAGGAGGCAGTGGAGGACGTCAATTATGTTGAGAAAACTCATCTTGGTTTCTCCTACGGAAACTCGAGTGGAGCATTTAATGCACAACAACATGGCGTTCCCAGAATCCCTCAGAATCCCCCGAGCTTCACTCAGTCATGTTTTCAGGGGCAGAATCAGGGATATGCACAGCAGAATCCAGGATACAGGCAGCAGAG